ACTATTATAGTACTTCTGTAGTGTTTTGCCATCTAATATTCGTAGTCTATATACTCCATTATTTAATTTACTTGGATAATGTAGGGTCCTTCTCTTTTGTCTTTGAATTTAGCTGATCTTTACTTTTCTAAAGCCTTAATTTGTGTCCAAACTTTTTTACCAATTTCAAATTCTTCTGGTCTGATTCTTGTATTGAAATATTTTTTCTGTTTCTCTTGAGATTTTTCTGTATTTGTTGAGCTTCTTCTTGTGCTTGAGGTAGTTTTTCTATTAGATCATAGGCTTGTTGCAATATACTATCTTGTAGGTCTATTTCTGTATCAGGATCTGGTAACGGTTCAGTAGAGAATATAGTTTCGATAGGTAGCGTAGCTTGTTTTTCGTAAACTAACTGTAAAGGTGTATAACCAGTCATAAAATATCTCTTGGTCCTATATGCTAAGAGAACTGCAGGTATATAGATATCCCAATCTTCATCTGTTTCTTTTACTTTGGCAAGTGATTCGCAAAGTGTTCTGTTTAGTCATTTAATCATTCTATTTGTCTGAGGGTGGTATGGTGAAGAGAACTTGTACTTGATAAGAAACTTTTCACACAGTATTTGAACAGTAGTGCTAATAAAGTTTCTTCTTTGGTCAGATAAGATTATTTTAGAGGTTCTATGTCTACAAATAATTTCTTTAAAGATAAATTTTGCTAAGGTTTCAGCTCTGGCATTTAGTAAAGCACAGGCTTCTGGCTATCGAGTTAGGTAATTTGTTACTACAATAATATAGCGATTGTTTTGGTGGAAATGTTGTGTTTATTAAAATTAAGTGAGATACATAATTATTTATTAATGATTTATTTTAAATAATTTATAAACATTATGCAGTTTCATAAGCAATTTATTGGTATGAAAAGTAACTGGCCAATTAAACGAAACGATGATTTATAATTGTTATGCGGTTTCATAAACGGTTTCATAAACAATTTATAAGCAGAGCAGATTAATAGTTAAGGCAAGCTATTGACCAATCAAATAAAATTGTACAATTCTATTTTCCCGTAGATCATACAATTAGGGTTGTATTACACAAAATTACATTTTTCATTACATGAAATTACATTGTAACTTACGAAACTGTAATGTAACTTTACAATATATAGCCAGCATTAATTCATAGGAAGACATTCATATGATTGGCTGTTTAAATCAATTTAATTTTACATTATTTATACAGTTTAAAGTACTTTTTTAAAAAAATCAAACTACGAAGAATAAACAAAAAAAGAAGTATACCCTATAAGAAAATTGGATCGTGATGGCACGGGGTGGTTTCGGGATGGCATGGGTTTTGGTAGCACGGATAAGAAACGGGTTTTGTACGTGAGAAGTTAGGGTTGGCACGGATTTGTTGGTTCGTGTTGGAACGTACACCAGTGCCAACTGGACCGTTAATGACTCGGGTTTTGCAACACTTTACTAATCCAAATGGCATGGGTTTTGGTACGGGTTAGTAATGTAATGGCGCGAGTGACGATGGCCCTGATTTGTACGTAGAGGTTTGAATTGGCATGGATTTATTAGCTTGTGGTGGACTGTATCACAGTGCTAATTGGATCGGGTTTGTAACATTTTTACTAGTCCAAATGGCACGGGTTTTGATAATAATAATTATACATAATTCTTATACCATGGGTTTTATTATATAACAAACAATTAAAATTTTAAATATTTTATTTAAAAAAAACGTCATTATACAACGAATATATTATAAACATCATTGGCAATATACAAAAAAAAAACCGCCCAGCACCCACTTAGAATAGACTAGAATTCACCCAACGCCCACCTGCTTATTTATATAAACACAAAATAATTCCGATACAAAACACCAAGCTGATAAAAGTTCAAGTAAAAGTTCAAACAAAAATCTAAGTGAAAATCCAAGCGAAAATCCAAAAAAAAGTCCAAGTGACAGTCTATGAATATCCAAGCAAAAGTCCAAGTGAAAGTCCAAATGAAAATCTAAGAAAAAGTTCAAAGAAAATTCAAGCAAAAGTTAAAATGAAAGTCAAGCGAAGGTTCAAACGAAAATCAAAGTCAAACAAAGTCAAGCGAAAGTTCAAGAAAAAGTCCAGGCGAAAGTTCTATAAGTGTTAGAAAAAGTTGGTAAAAAGACAATAATAAACACAATTAAATTACTTACCCAAAAAGTTTCAGCGACGAAAGATGACAAAGACTCCAAAGATAACGATGACAGCTTCAGTGACATTAGTTCAAAGAACTACAACTCTGGCAATGCTAAAATTACATCTAGAAAAAAAAAAGAATGTTAGTTCAAGAAGACGAAAAAAAACAAGCAAAAAGAAAAAAAAAGTAAATAGAAAAAAAGAAAAGAAAAAAGAAAGGATAATAATAATAATAATAATAATAATAATAAAAGAAAAAAAAAACAATAATGAAGTGAAAGAAAAAGAAAGGGCAAATAAGAAAAAAGAACGAAGCGAAAAAAAAGACTTCAAACGAAAATCTAAACGAAAGTCCAAGTGAAAATTCAACTGAAAGTCCAAGAGAAAGTCCAAGAAATTCCAAGCAAAAATCCAAGAGGTCAAAAAATCCAAGTCCAAGAGAAAGTCTAAGAAAATCCAAACGAAAGTTCAAGCAAAGTTCAAATGAAAATCCAAGAGAAAGTTCAAAGAAAATTCAAGCAAAAGTTTTAACAAAAGTCAAACAAAAGTTCAAGAAAAAGTCCAGACGAAAGTACTATAAAGTGTTAGAAAAAGTTGGAAAAAATATAATAATAAACAACAATTAAATTACTTACCCAAAAAGTTCGCAATGAAGATGACCAAGATTCTAAAGACGATGACAAAAACTCCAAAGACAATGACAACGGCTCCAGTGATGACAGTTCCAAGAACTATGACTCTGGTAAAGCTAAATTACATCTAGAAAGCAAAAAAAAAGAATGTTAGTTCATGAAAAACCAAAATGAAAAAAAAAGTAAAAGAAAAAAGATAATAAAAAATAAAAAAAAAGCTAAAAATAAAAACAAAAACAATAAAAACAAAGATCTAGATCTAAAGAGTCGATTTTACTTGAATACCAACATTCTGATTAGACGAAAGTTCAAGCAAAGTTCAAATGAAAATCCAAGAGAAAGTTCAAAGAAAATTCAAGCAAAAGTTTTAACAAAAGTCAAACAAAAGTTCAAGAAAAAGTCCAGACGAAAGTACTATAAAGTGTTAGAAAAAGTTGGAAAAAATATAATAATAAACAACAATTAAATTACTTACCCAAAAAGTTCGCAATGAAGATGACCAAGATTCTAAAGACGATGACAAAAACTCCAAAGACAATGACAACGGCTCCAGTGATGACAGTTCCAAGAACTATGACTCTGGTAAAGCTAAATTACATCTAGAAAGCAAAAAAAAAGAATGTTAGTTCATGAAAAACCAAAATGAAAAAAAAAGTAAAAGAAAAAAGATAATAAAAAATAAAAAAAAAGCTAAAAATAAAAACAAAAACAATAAAAACAAAGATCTAGATCTAAAGAGTCGATTTTACTTGAATACCAACATTCTGATTAGACGAATCAATAATCTAAATGTAATTTTTTTCAAACTTTGAGAGAGGATGTCTTGACAACCACTGTCTAAAATCGATGAAAATTTTTTATTTTAGTTATACATTCTTATAGAATCGAAATAAAAAAATTTTATTAATTTCAGATAGCTGGTTGTCGAAATATCTTCGCTCAAAGTTTGGAAAACTTTACTGCAGCTTCTATTTTGATCGTAAGTTTTTTTCTATCTAAAATTAATAAAAATTTTTTTTTAGTTTAATTATACAAGCACAAAATCAAATAAAAAACTATTGATTTTAGATAGGTGGTTTTCAAGATGTCTTTGCTCAAAGTTTGGGAAAAAACTTTGTTACAATTCCTATTTTGATAATTGTTTTTTAAATTTTGAATGAAAATATCTTGACAACCACTTATCTAAAATTAATAAAACTTTTTATTTTATTATACAGAAATATAAAAAAAATTTCATCAAGTTTAGATCGGTGGTTGTCGAAATATTTTCGCTTAAAATTTGAAAAAACTTTGCACAGCTTGTTTTGATAGTTATCTAAGTTTTTTTTCAAACTTTAGGCAAAGTTATCTCGATGACTACCTATCTGAAATCGACAAAAATTTTTATTCTGATTTTATGTCTGTATAATTAAAAAAAAATTTTTATTAATTTTAGATGAGTTGTTGTCGAGATATTTTTAGTAAAAGTTTAGAAAAAAAACTTAGATAACTACAAAACAGCTATGGCAAAGTAATCTTGACAACCACCTATCTAAAATTGATGAAAATTATTTTATTTTGATTCTATTTGACTATGGAATTAAAATAATGAGATTTTCATGGTTATCAAGATAACTTCGCTCAAAGTTTAAAAAAAATGTATTTGGATTATTGATTTCGTATATACTGTTACAGTACCGTGGCCTTCTTAACAGCAGTACTATAACAATGACACAGCTACAGGGATCTTTCACAGATTTATAGTGGTGTCAAACAGGTAAGTATAATTTTTACTACAATTAGAAACTATACTTTTCTGTTTGTGGCAGTTCGGGCAGACAATAGTTTATAGATAAAATATATATTTTATTAGAGAGAATAAGATAGGCTATCCTTAG